ATATATTTAAATATATATATTCCTTCTCCTCAGATCCTGTTCTGCACTCTCAACTCTCATAAAGTGGACATGCAGAAACTACTGGGGGGACAGATTGGACTGGAGGACTTCATCTTTGCCCATGTAAGAGGGGAGACCAAAGAGGTGGAAGTGACAAAGACAGAAGATGCACTGGGTCTCACGATCACAGACAACGGAGCTGGCTATGCTTTCATCAAGGTGGATGAGAAGTTGTTGTTTTGGTCTTTTTTTTTTACCAATTGCTGCAACATTTTGAGTTTTTTGTGATGATTAATAAGACAAACAGAGCAGAAACTCCACTCTTCAGCTGGTCATTGCTACCTTACAGTAAGAGGCCACAGAGGTGTTCGAAAAGATAAAACCAAGGACATTTTTAGGACGTCATTAAAGTTAGATAAATCCACTTTTCTGAGAAACTTTAACAATCTAACCAGAATAAAAGTCAAACAAATTAAAATCCAATTTCCTTTTTTTGGTCATATTGCAATAATAAAAACATGTCATTGTAAAATCTGTAATGATTACACTAGTTGTAATATGTCAATGCAATGTGCTTTCTCCCCCCCCCCCAAAAGCTGATAACTCACATCATAGTCATATACTGTATTTAGTCAAATCTTTGTCTTTCAGAGGATAAAGGAAGGCAGCACCATCGACCAGCTGAAGACAGTATGTGTTGGAGATCACATCGAGGCCATCAATGACCAGAGCATTGTAGGGTGTCGGCACTACGAGGTTGCAAAGATGCTAAAAGAGCAACCGAGAGGCGTACCCTTCACTCTTCGACTTGTGGGACCCAAGAAAGCCTTTGGTAAGTAGAACATGGTGGATATTTGTTTTAATTTAATTGTAAATTTAGACTTTAATATGGGTGTTTTGACTTGAACTCGCTTAGAGCCTTAGATGACACTGGGTCTGCACACAAAAACTATTAAAATTCAGTAGTTTTAAAAATATTCATACTAAAAGTGTCAGTACTATTACTTCCTGGCCTTTGCATTCACTCACTGACCTACATTAAAGTTTATGTATAGTTATGTGATTCAGTAAAAACCAGCAGGGTTCCTGGTGCTAAAACAATGGGAAAAAACTGTGATTTATAGCATGGCATGGCTATTTAATATTGTAAGCACACCAACTTCCCCTGGTACAACAGCCCACAGAAAGTGGACACTAATAGCTTATTGCCACCCTGCCTGACATTGTCCTCAGCTGTTGATGGGGTTAGTACTCCTCAGATGTTTTTCATAACTCATCAGCAAAAACAGAAAGAGGATGCAGGGATATTTCACTGGCGGTCTGCCAGTGGGCCTTGAACTCCCGTTAAACTTTCCAGCCACAGTTAATTGACCGGTGTTACAGTAGTCAGCTGCAATGACCATGTGTGAAATATAAATTAAGAATGCAGACAAATGTAAATGAATTCACTTTGTGTTCATAGACTGAGTCTATAATACTGCAGACAAATATAAACTAATAATGTTTTGCCTTCTCAGTTTTTATTTCTCTTTGTAAAACAACTGTCGTCTCACTTACTGAGTAAAATTTAATGCACATGCACATATCTAATAAAAAAAGGCTGTGAATGATTTTTGCAGTTGTTGTTGTTAACCCTGGGGAACAATTAATCACAAATCTCTAAAAGGAATACTGGAAACACCATTTAGACAGGAACACGTGCATCACTTGCATGGAGGCAGACATTTATTTTTCTGTCTTTACGGTCTAATTCTCACTTTAAACAGCACAACACTATCTGCAGTTATTGTAGTAGGGTCTCTACCTTACAAACTAAAGCACCTTGAGGTGACTACTGTCGTGCCTTGGTGCTATATGCATAACACTGAATTAATTGAATCCTTAATTCAATTAATTAAGGATTAATTGAATTCTTAATCTGTTAAAGGTCTAGAGTATATTTCACCAAAACCGGGTGTTAGGTTGAAATTGTTAAATGTTGTCATTGTGTTACTTAAATTTGTAAGTCTTGGTTCAAACTGTATAATCAAAGACATTCCTTTGTTTCTAACCCCCTCCCCAGCCTGTTGAATGGTGGGGGAGGCTGTAGTGTTTTATTATAGGCACATCCAAGGTGAAGGTTCTGTTTTCTTGTTTAGTAAACTTCCTGCCTTTATGACCCTTTGGTGAGCAGGTGGTCACACAAATGCACCCCCAAACACAAACACACACACACACACACACACACACACACACACACACACACACACACACACACACACACACA